GTTCTCATATTTCCATCCCCATGACAGGTAGTGGCAAAGGTCCTGAGAATTCAGAGATGTGTAGTAGTGTGCCTCAGTGGAAAAAGTCTTCCCAAACAACTCATGAACTCCTGTGTATTATACAGATCAGTACAAAATAATTTCTGAGCATACTTAATTATTTAGGTGGCACCCTTGCTCACAGACTAGGTTTGTGGGAACAGCCATAGAGTTTTGAAGTCTGAGAAAAATGAAGCAAATATGAAAGTGTTATCAAGGATGGGGTAAAAATTTGTGAAGGACAAATTCCAGAAAGGGCTACCTGTTAAATTCTCATCGAAAAATGCTGAAATTTAGGCATTTGCATGGACATATACACGTGATATCCTTCTGAATGGAAAGGAAAAGGTGTGTCATCTCTGAATTAAGAGCTGATATAGTGGCTTGGTTGTTCATAGTTTAAATATGGAAATGCTCTGCAATTGAATTTACTAAGTGATGTAAAGGAGAAGCTCTATACAGAAATATTGCAGTGATATCAATAGTTAGGCTTGAAGGGTTTCCTCCTGAGGATCGATCAGAGGAGCGTGGAAAGGACGTGCAAGTGACTGACAGAATGCAGGAAGTCAATAGCAGGACATACAACAGAGATGATCTTCACTGAAATTCAGGTAGTTCTTAGAGTAAGTGTGAAGTTAAAGTTGGGTTCTGATTGCTTCCTTGAGGTGACAACACCAGCTCTGGCAACAATCAGTATTTCACATCCTTGCCAACCCATGAATTTTCTGTTCCATACTTGAGATCTAATTTGGATTATCTCTAATTATGCCCCAGTGTCATGAAGGTGAAATGTGGATTTTTTTTGTACCAAGGATCGAACACATGACCTATGATTTCCAGGCAGGCGTTCATGCCACTGAACTAAATAACCAAATATGCAAGTGTTTTCTTTGTTGTATGGAAGATATCCACATTGTTTCCCAGAAAGTGTTGAATATTGTTGGAATTTTTCCATATTATATGGCTATAATTTTTAAAAACAAACCAAAGGTGTCTTATGCAGTCTCTTTTCAAGTTTCGCTTTGTCTGTGGGGTGTCACAGTCAGGGTTTCTCTATTTTAGACAGCTCTGTAACTTAGGATAGCCCCAAATTCAAGGAAGAAGTCCTTCACCAGCCTCACAAGATGTATTCCTTATATCTGAATTGAAAGTGAACGCTTGGTGACAGTGAGCTATAAATTACAGCTTGGGCCTGGTTCCATTTTATATACTTATTTTTTAAAAACAGCATTTTCCACTAACATTTGAGTTATTATTTGTGTACCATATTGGATGTTATTTATGTTTTGTTCTATGAAACCAAATTCATGTTTCAAAATGCTGCTGAAGTATATTAAGAACAAAGTACTCACTGGCCTAAATGAGATTTGAAGAGACGTTATCTGCAGCCTATCAAAGTGATTGATGAGTTTTTTTTTCTTTTTTTAAATTTTGAAAGTGGTAAAATACAACAGAACAAGGCAGAATAAGACCAACTAAGATCATACAGTGAAATTGGTACACAACTTCACAACTGGTTACTGCGTTAACAGTAATAGGTATCACAGTATATTTTATTATCTTTATAATAGTTGTTCTTTTTTTTGTCTTTTTCCTTTTATCAGTACTGGGGATTGAGCCCACAACTGTCTCCTTGCAAGGCAGATGCTTATGCCACTGAGCTAAATCCCCAGCCCCAATAGTTATTCTTTCAAACACGTATATCAAAATGAGATGAAATACAGAACATTATAGTACTTATCAAAACAGAATATTGAATAGAGCAATACCATTAATCAGAAAAGAGCAAAACATTAACAAAAATATTTGCCTTCAAAGAGACAGTAGAAGGAAGTCCCCCTTATTTGTTATGGTCTGCTTCCCAGGAGTCGCTCAGATTTCTGGTTCCCATTTGCTAATGGGGGTTGACAGGAGAAGAGGGGTAGGGAAGTGGGATGTTTGATTCTAGGCCGTGCATCAGTAGGTTCACTATTGCTTAGTAGGGAGACAGGCCAGTTGTTTTGTTTCACAGCGTCCTATGTTCCCACATGGCGTGGATCTCAGGAGCTGCTGCTAGATCTCCCCCTGGAATCGCCGCATTCTGCCAGACCTCCACCACTTACCAGGGAGAAGTGGTGCTTGCTTGCCTTCCAAGTGTCCTAAATTCCAGCATGGCATGGATCTCAGGAGCTGCTGCTGGTTTGCCCCCTGGATGGGCCACAGTCCACCACACCACCACCACTTACCAGGGAAGGGAGGTGCTTGCTTGGCTTCCCAGTTGATTGATGGGATATTTATCTGCCTCTGTGCTTTGTGGATGCTGGTCCTTCAGGCTTCTCACTGTGAGCTCTGCATTAGAGACAGTACACAGGGATTATTGCAGTGACTCAGCACAAGAATCAGTGATCCTATTTCACTGTTACATTAGCAGTGAGTTGCAATCTAGCATCAAATTTGCTGTCTTCAAAAATGTGTATATACACAAAATTAATGACCAAGATATGGATTTAAATTTGAAGAAATCAGTCTTCATTCAGCTGTTTTGTTTGGTTGTATTTGTTTAGTTTTGTTTTGTTTTATTGAGACAAGCTTTCTGTATGTATATCAGCTAGCTTTGAACACCCTAGAATTGCCCTGAATTCACTGAAACCATCCTGCCTCACCCTTTTGAGTTCAGGGCCTAGAATTGCCCTGAACTCACTGAAACCATCCTGCCTCAGCCTTTTGAGTGCTGGCATTATAGATATATACCACCACACTTTGATTTTGATTCAGATTTGTAGGAGAGAATTTAAGATATCCCAAACCTGGTGTCTCAACCTTTGTGTGAGAAATATATGTATGATCCTTTAGGAGGTGGTGACCTTTGAGGATGTGGTCGTGAACTTCAGCAATGAGGAGTGGACTTTGTTGAGTCCATCCCAAAAGAACCTCTACAGAGATGTGATGGGCGAAACCTTTAGGAACATGACTGCAATAGGTAATGACAAAATACTTTTGTCACTCATGCTGTCAGAATGTTGTGTGTCGCTGTTTCATTAAAAACAATGTGAAAATATTTTTAAAAATAGCTCAGACCTGGACACATTATATCATAACTCTAAACAAAATCTACTAATTTGTATGTATTATTCTAATGAACACTGGTATTTCTATGTCTACAATTCAGGAGGACTTGGGGATATCCAGGAAGCTGAAAAAGAATGCAAAATTTACTGGAGATACTTAAGGTAATTCCCACTCATAAGGAGAAGGAATGTTCCTGAGTAATTAGTGAGTCAGCAGAAAAACACCACCAAAGAAATGAGGCACCATTCAATTTATTGTCAGTAATATTCTCCGAAGATGTATAAGCTAGGGTACGTATAATGAGTTGATTAAATCAAGAAAATGTACGACATTGCATATAGACGTGTGTGAAAGGCATACACTTTGAGTTATGACATTCTCTCTTCAGTTTTTCTACCCATATATACATGTGAATACAACACACCCATCATCTAAAAATTGCTAAGATTGCAATAGAATTTGAAATAAAATGGAGTTCTTGTGTTTCCAAGCCTTGCTTTGAAGAATCAGCCATTCTGACTAAAATTCTTAGAAGGCTGGTAGAATGTTAATTGCACTCATTCTGAATATCAGTGTGCAGTTGTCTCTAGAAATTGATCCCCTCATACTTGTCCTGGATGTATTTTTAAAAATTCAAAATGCACATAAAATACTCATACAGGCTTACTCATATATAAAGCAGATCAAGTTATAATAGAACAGGCCTTGAAGAAGCTTATCTACCTATCACTGGATTTGTGGAGAAGGAAAATGTTAATAGACTCTTTGTGATTGTGCATGCTTGTAAATCCAGCACACTAGGAATCAGAATTTGCAGAATTGCAAATTCAAGTTCAAACGTCACAGCTTAATGATCAGCAAAAATCTCTTAAAACATATTAAAAAGCTATAGATTTTATACTAATAGCTGTTGTTCATTCCCAGCATGGAAAAGAAAAAAAATGTGTTATATAATGTCAAAAAATAAAGAATATAATGTCATTTGCCATAAGAAATAGGTAGTTCTTTCTCCCATCAATTCGGTGAAATAGCTCAGCTATGAAACCTAAAAGTTCACAGGGTTTCTCTTAGATGAGAAACCAAAATATAAATTGTGGAATGAAATGAAAGAGTTAATAGAGAAAAGTAAGACTGACCATATGGAAAAGGGAACTACAGGTTAAGGACAGAAGGGAGATTGTGATGGGGAAACATATCATAATGATCTGTGTGTGATGCACATATGTACCCATGCTCAAAGTGAAGCTAAAGATTCTGCATTTCAAAAGGTACCAAATTTTAAGATTTCCAAATGTGTACCAGTCTTTTGGGAATGGTTGTTTTCAACATGTCTTACAAGGTCATTCTGTTACTTCATGGTCAGAGTTTCTTAGCAGGCATTAAAAACAGAACTTGACATTAATGCAGTCGTTAAACTGAGACCCATTTCACTGTGAATGTGTCTTTTTTTATTTAATGTAAGGAAAGACTAAAAAAAGAACAAAATAAGTAGAAATGATACCACTTTCAAAGTGAAAATAAACACTAAGAAATCTAAAGACAGTGATTACATATGCTGCTCATAGAAATAGTTAATGAAATACAAATGTGAAACATATGATGTGGGGATTCAAACAGCCAGAGTGCAAACAATTTTGTTCAAATCTCAAAAAAAAACTTAGTAATATGATTATCAATCCGATATGTAATTTTTTTTTTTTTACAGAAATGACAAGGTAGGGAAATCCTATGGACATACATCTTGGAATCAGTGTAAAGAAGTATTCCTTTGTACTGCAGAAGGTAATGGGAATGTGAAAGAAGCAGAAACACACCACCATGTTCAGATCCATGAAAAATATGGCAGTGAGGAGAAATCCTATGTATGTCAGCAATGTGGAAAAGGGTTCACCAAATCTCAACATTGTAAGCAACATGAAATAATTCACACTGGAGTGAAACCATATGTATGTAAGCAATGTGGGAAAGCTTTTAACACACGGGCAAATTGTAAAATACATGAAAGGATTCACACTGGAGAGAAACCGTATGTATGTAAGCAATGTGGGAAAGCTTTTGCCAGACCTGGATATTGTAAGGAACATGAAAGAATACACACTGGAGTGAAACCATATGTATGTAAGCAATGTGGGAAACCTTTTAACACAGAGACAAACTGTAAAATACATGAAAGAATTCACACTGGAGAGAAACCCTATGTATGTAAGCAATGTGGGAAAGGTTTTACCCAACATGGAGCTTGTAAGCAACATGAAAGAATTCACACTGGAGAGAAACCATATGTATGTGAGCAATGTGGGAAAGCTTTTAACACACGTGCATACTGTAAGGTTCATGAAAGAATTCACACTGGAGTGAAACCATATGGATGTAAGCAATGTGGGAAAGCTTTTAACACATGGGGAATTTTTAAGAAACATGAAAGAATTCACACTGGATAAAAACCCTATGTATGTAAGGAATGTGGGAAAGGTTTTACCCGACATGCAAATTGTAAGCAACATGAAAGAATTCACACTGGAGAGAAACCATATGTATGTGAGCAATGTGGGAAAGCTTTTAACACACGTGCATATTGTAAGGTTCATGAAAGAATTCACACTGGCGTGAAACCATATGTATGTAAGCAATGTGGGAAAGCTTTTAACACATGGGCAAATTGTAAAATACATGAAAGAATTCACACTGGAGAGAAACCCTATGTATGTAAGGAATGTGGGAAAGCTTTTAACACATGGGGAGATTTTAAGAAACATGAAAGAATTCACACTGGAGAGAAACCATATGTATGTAAGCAATGTAGGAAAGCTTTTAACACACGGGCAAACTGTAAAATACATGAAAGAATTCACACTGGGGAGAAACCCTATGTATGTAAGCAATGGTAGAACCAGTGTATATAAGCATCATGAGAATTTTTTGAGCACAAGTACATATTGCATAAAGAATGAAAAACTTCACACTGGGCAGAAAACTTATATATGTAAGGAATGTGGGAAAGGTTTCAGCAGACATGTTCATTTTCTAATACATGAAAAAATTTGCAATGTTGAGAAACCCTGTTTATGTGAAGAATGTGGGAAAGCTTTCGCCACACATGGATTTTGTAAAATACATCAATGGCTCCACTCTGGTGAGAAACCCTATGTATATAACAATGTGGCAAAGCTTTTACCACATACAGTCATTGCAAAACACATGAAAGAATTCACACTGGGAAGAACCACTGGCTATGTAAGCAAGTAGAGACACTTTCAGCAGCCCGATTGTAAGTGAAATATGTGAACAAGCTCACACAAGAGATAAATCCTATGTGTTATGGGAATACTCTCAGCACACATGATCATTGTTACATATCTGAAAGAGTTCACTTTATCCTATGTGCATTAACAATGTGAGAAATATGGCAATCCATGTTTGTTGTTAAATGCATAGAAAAATCAGCATACTTCAGACAGTTTAGATCTAAGTTTACTTTAAAAATTCCAAGTAGACCTGAAGAAATAATCAATATAGAAGTTTGATGTCAATATTTATTCACAAATTTTCCAGAAATGACAAATCTGAAATGGAGCTCTACTCAAGTACATATTTTGTATGGTTTTCAGTTAATCACTTATACCTCTTTAGATTTTTTAAAGTGTCTTTGTGCTTCAACATGGCATCTTGTAATTAAACATGGTAAACTGAAATGGGCTTTTCACTTTCAAGTATGGATAGTGTCTATGTACTTAATATTTTGTCTTTAAACCTTAATTTTTATATTTTTGTGAACAATTTTTATTTAAAAAAAACCAAAAAGTGTAGAAATAATACAGAAGTTCTGAAAAATAAACAATAAGAAATCACTAGTTGATTAGTTACATATTGTCATCTTAGAAGTAATTGTTCAAGTTACAAAATTAAAGCATACAAAGTGATATTCAAATAATGACATTGCAAACAGTTTACCACCGTGATCCAACAAAAACTTATTAATATTCTTATCTGTTCTATAAACTTATTTTTTATCTTAAAGATGGTAAGATTAAACATGAAAAAACAAAACAGTTCATATGGAAACAAGTTAAGGAAACACAGGTTTCACATCAAGTCCACTGAGATGTTCATTTTCTATCTTACTGTCTCTAGTTTTCTTCAAAATAGTTGTTCCCATATTCACAAGCATTGAATATATACTGAACATTATAGAACTAATCAAATAATTACAGGATGATACGGGCTTTTTTGATCTTCAAGACTGATTTTGGGGAAGTTGATAATGATTACCATAATGTGTCTCATTCTTTTCGTAGTAGACGTCTTTATTTTTATGTATGCTGAAATTGAACATAAGAGACTAAACTAATATCACTCTGAACAGTGAATAACAGTATCCTGAGAAGGAGAAAGGTGAGGAATTGCCTAAAAAAAGAAGGCAGAGCACATTGTGAAAAGTGTATCAGGATTTAAAAGCTACAGTAGTTCTGTTGCTCTGTTTAGTTTGATTATATTTTGTTCTGGTCTGTCTACTCATATTAGATTTGAAGGGCACAGAGAGATAACCCAAAAATGGCAGGTTATACCATGATGGTAATTGTCCTTAATTTCCTATTAACTAAAACTGAAACCCTGTATTACTAACATTGTCTTAGTATGACTGATATTATTTTAAGCTGGTTTGTTTGAATGTTATTTGGCCTTGACTGATTTTATTCACATTTGGTATGATTGCTGGTATCAAGTCCAAGAGTAGAGGCAACTACTCTGAAGGTGATAAGATGTGAAAGATATATATTGGGGGGCTGGGGATTTAGCTCAGTTGCTTAAGCCCCTGCCTGGCAAGTGTGAGGTCATCAGTTTGATCCACAGTACCAAAAAATAAATAAATAAAAGATATAAATTCCAGGTTTAATTTTTTTATTTAAGGAGAAAAAAAGAACATAAAAAAGCAAAGCAGTAAAAGGGTACAAATAATACAGAATTTCAAGAAAAAATACAGTAAGAAATCACTAGTTAATAGGTTACATATTGTGTTCTGAGAAACAGTTGTCCAAATTATAAAATTAAAGCATATAACGTGAACATTCCTACAGCGAGACTGCAGAGAGTTCTGTTCAATGATCCAACAAAAGCTCAGTAATATGGTTTTCCTTCCAACACACTCAAACAGGCACTTAGTTCCCTTAGACCACCTTCCTTTCCTCTCTTCTTCACAATAACAATTACCCTTTTGGGTTTTGTTTACTCCAATAGTTCTTATTACTTTTTTTGAAGAGAACAAAACCTCAAGTGAGTTAACAAAACAGTGTTGGTTAGAACATATGGATGGGCATAGTACTTGACGCAATCAGTTGATCAAAAATGGTTAGCACTGTGCCTCTTGCTATTTTTAAAAAGAGTTCCCTATATCATCAGGTATAATAGAATTGATCAAAACAGTACAGAACAAGACCAATAAAATCTACACTGGAGACCTTACAGAATTTCAAAAGAAGATAATAGTCAAACCATAATGGGCATCATAGTAAATCTTATTGCCTACAAAGTGGTTGCCTATACTCTCAAACTTGATACTATCAAACAAAATAGAATATAGTAAAATCAGGCAGAAAAAGATGGGGAGAGCAATACTGGGGTTAAAATCAGGTTAATAGGAAAACAAAATATTACTATAATATATCGCACTATTTTTTAATTTAGTTTTCCTTTAACTGAAAAAAAATAAAATGATTTTTTTAAAAAGTGTGGAGATCAAGATAAAAGAGACATCGTGATAGAACAACACAGGTCAGAACTGAACAATTAAAGCATCATTTGGTTTCACCACCAGGTAATCTAACATAATAGTAGTCACCATAGTGCCTCTTTCCTTGAATTATTTGAGTATAACTTCGTATAGTATAGAATCAATCACATTCAAGACAATGAAAGAATTACAGGGTATTTAGAGCCAGTTAACAGAAAATGAACAACAATTTCTATATTATCTCTTTGCCTGTAAAAAATTGTTTTATACTATCACAGTAAAATATATTAAGATACAACATGTTAAATACAGTGGAAATATATACAACAACTTGATGGGAGTTCTAAAGGAGATGATATTAAATCAACACTAGCTTTTATGATGTGTTATTTTCCTCAGAACAGCTATTTTCGGTACTAAAATCGAAAAACCCAGGGTAAAACCTTTGCACTTAATGAGTAAAAACATTATATGGATTCAAACAATATGATTGGGTATCATGATTACCACATACTTCTATTTATTATCATTTCTTATACTAGGGAATATATTTGGTATTTATACATGTGAGTTTGATTTATTTCACTTATGAGTATGGTCTCAGTCTGTGTACATTTATTTATGTGTCAATGTGATCATTCTTTATAGCTGAGTAGTTCTCCATTGTATAAAAACACCATAACATTTTTTATCAATTCCTCAGTTGATGGACACTTAGGTTGTTTCCAACATCTGGCTATTACAAACTGTGCTGCTATAAAAATGGGTGCACATATATCACTGTGGAATGATGCTTTCAGTTCTTCTGTGAATAAGCCTAGCAGTAGAATTGCTGGGTCAAAAGGTGCTTCCAGTCCCAGCTTTCTGAGAAATCTCCAGACAGAGCTCCACAATGGTTGTACCAGTCTACACTGCCACCAAAAGTGCAGGAGAGTTCCTTTGTCCCAACAGCGTCTCCAACACTTGTTGTTGGTGGTTTTCTTGATCTTGGCCATTGTTTCAGGAGTGAGATGAAATCTCAGTGTGGTTTTAATTTGCATTTCTCTAATGACCATTGATGGTGAACATTTTTTCATGTATTTATTTGTCATTTGTATTTCTTCATCTCAAAATTGTTTGTTCATCTCAGATGCTCATTTTTGGATTGGGTCTTTGAATTTTGGTGGTCTCCTTTTAAAAAATGCTTTATATGTTGTACACAGAAGTCCTCTGTCTGAGGGGTAGTTCACTAAGATTTTTTTCCCAGTTTGTGGGTTTTCTTTTCACTTAACTGGAGATTTCAATTGATGTGCAGAAACTTTGGAATAAGAGGTGATCCCAATTATTGATTCTGGGAAGCATTTCCCATGGGGATTGAGTCCTGTTCATCAATTCTCTACCTACTCCTATGTCTTCAAGGTTTTTACCCAATTTGTCTTCCAATAGATTTAGTGTTTCTGTTTTAATATTTAGATCATTGATCCATTTAGATTTTACTTTAGTACATGGTGATAGGCATGGGTCTAGTTTTAGATTTAGGCATATGGAGAGCCAGTTTTTCACCACCATTTATTAAATAGAATGTCATTCTTCCAGTGAACATGTTTGGCCCCTTTATCAAAATAAGGTACTTGAGTGTGTTTGTAGTTGTGGTTGTATCTTCTCATCTATTCCACTGATCTTCGGCTCTGTTTTGGTTCCAATACCATGTTGATTTTACTACAGTTGCTTTGTAGTCAAGTCAGGGATTGTGGTACCTCCTGCCTTGCTTTTGCTGCCTCTAACTGTCTTTGTTATTCTAGGCTTTTCTCATTCCAGATGAATTTTAGGGGTGATTTCTCAAGTTCTATGAGGTATGTTGATGGTATTTTTATTGGGATTGCATTGCATCTGTATAAAAGTTTTGGGAGAATGGCCATTTTCACAATATTTATTCTTCCTATCCATGAGCAAGGGATGTCTTTCCATTTTCTGAGGTCATCTTCAATTTCATTTTTCAGTGTGTTATAATTTTCCCTGTATAGGCCTTTCATTTCTTTCGTGAGAGTAATTCCTAAATATTTCATTTTC